TGAAAATCACTTCAGCTCACAAAGAGTGAATATCTGGTCGAGAATATCACTATGATTCATTATAAAACCGCCTCTTGCCAGTAAGGACGTGACATGTGTCATTTAACTAGTGATTTCGTTGCCAAGTAGCACCACAAGTAAATAGTTATGACCGGGACCCTTTGACTGGTGGGTTTGCTGCCACACCACTAAATTGCGGTCATAGTCAGAGCCCGTATGTTCCCCAACTATGCTAAATGTTTGAGTAATGAATCAATAGGATATGACCGATAGGGCACAAAGCTCTCTGTTAGCTAAGGTTGCTTAAAATTTGTCCCCTTAAATTACTCTTAGAAAAAGCAACCAATGGTTGCCAACATGGATCTTTCTATTAGGTTGGGTTAACTACCTCCTCTGACTAAGTAGGCCAATGATCATGATGGCCCGAGACAACGTAAATATGGGATCTTGAACGGGTCTATTATAATTCCCATTCACTATCCGCTTTAAGTGCAAAGTGTTGAGTTTCTAATACTAAATATTAAATTTCCACATACCAAATCATGCTGTTACTCTATGCTAGATACTATGTATCTATTTGACGACTAGCCTTAATCGAAAATTCTCTCTAAGTATGGAGAGGGGTAATTAACTATAGGGGTTTGCACTTATAGGAAACTTGAACTCAGATCATAAAGTCATCGCAAAATGAGGACGAAATCTCTGGGTAATGTCTTATTCAAAACCCAATTTGCCTTTTAAAATTTTACCCCAAATCTTAAATGTTAAAATTCTCCTTGACGACCCAAAGAAAAGAGAAAGGGGTTGCGGAGAAGCCGGGGTGCAAATTTTCGGAGCCCACAATCCACATGAAGTGTGGTGGCATTTGTAGACTTAGTTGATCGATGCAAGCATATGATAACAAGTACTCTTATAAATCCTCTTTGGATTCTTTTAGATTTCTAGGATCAGCCCTTGGGTGGTCTGTGTTAATATGATGATGCAAATTGTATGCATGATTTATTGGAAGAGGTTATCTAGAAGGTGTAAACAACGTTGGAAACTTATTCCCCAAAAATCCTAATATTAAATTGTGATGCAATCGTATGTCATGGTAATATCAGTGCAAACAACTTTCTCTCATATAAATTACATTGGTTTTATAGGTTAATGCTAAGAAATTGGCTTAGGTTGAGATTTCTGAAAATTCACTAAAATTGGTGTTCATGCACTAGGCAGTTAATATTTGCTAAAGATATAAATTGACTTCCAGCACTCAACGTAGATTGTTGAACAATCCGTAAAACACATTACACTTTATAAGAATGTGACCTCCAAAAGTTAATTTTCTGTCGTTTGGCACAATTGGTAGGCGCTTTTGGTTAGCAGGAGTGTTATGTCTTTGTTTTAAGATAGGTGTAATTCTCAGTTTTGGAAGAGATACTTGTGGTTTTAAGATGGGTTCAAGCAGTTTAAAGTTTATTAGGAAATTTGTGTTCAGATAGGATGGGGTTTCTTTGGATAGTTATTTTAGGGAAGGAGTTAGGAGTAGAGGTTAAAAATTGGTAAAAGGTTGTTGTAATGCTTACTAAATTAAGTGGAGTTTTAAGGAATGCTTTATAATCAAGTTTGTCTAGGACATAGGGTTTTTGTGAGCTTTGTAGCAGGTTAGTGAAACATGACGATGGAGGGTGGTTGGAGGGTATATTCTTGGTGAAGATAGGTGTACTTCTCTCATAATCTAGTCCCCCTCTCAAGCACTCTTTTCTCCACTCTTCCACTCACTTTATCAACTTCACAACGTTTTTTTTTTTATTTTTTTTATCAACTTCATAATGTTATTTCATCTATTAAACCCTCAAATGGGATGGATAAAAGAGGGAAAAAAATCTGAAAAAGCCTTGTTGAAAACTTGTCATGACACACAAGGAACAAGGGGGTTTTCTACTTCATCCTCTCCCCCCTCATTTCGCTCTCTTATATTCATCTCTCATAATCAAGTTCGTCTACTAGTCACACTTTTTCTACTCTTCCACTCACATCTCCATCCTTGCAATATGTTGAAAAAGAGGAGGAAAAAAAAAAATGCAACAAAGCCTTGCCAAGGCTCATAAGGTAAGGGTGCTCCCTACTGAAACCTCATATCTATGTTTTCGTTCTTGTCATTGCCTTGCCTCAAGCATCTCATGTGCCATCCATGCATGCCTTTTGTGGAGTCATGTGGTGGTTCCCCTCATTTTTAATTTTGCTAACATCTACAAATGATTTTAACAAAAATGTGCGTCTTATTTGTGGGTGGGGAGCATGTTTTAATTTAGGTGCTTCGAACACCACTCCACATACTTTTCTTGGCATGTTGAAACGCTTATGTTTTGTTATGATGCTGAGTGCACTTGCCCATACATGCATTTCTTGATGTGTTGGGCTGGCTTTGTACACTTCTTGCTAACCTCTTCGCTAGGGTGATTCAGAAGTATTGCTTAATATTTTTATGAAATTTGGGGTTGGACAAATTTGTGTAATGGGTGAGTTGTGTTAAGTGTTGCCAAGATGCATGCTTGTCGACATGGATATGTTGAAAAGTGAACAAATTATCAAACAAAACACCAAAAATGCATGTGAATAAAAAAAAATCGGAACAAAATAAACATAATGAAAACTAGGTTATGCGAACTTGTTTTTAGTTATCACTGCCGTCGACAAGTAGTTGAATAGGATTGAGCACAGGCAATGTTAGGTTGGGTGAGGCTCCCTTTGACTCCTCCCTCCAAACACAAAATTGAAGTTTGGACGTTAAAAAATGAATCCAAAATCTCCTAATGTGTAGCGCTGTATGCTCACTGATTTGGACTGAGATTTTCAGAATGAGGCACATTCTTTTTTCTGAAATAATCAAAATATACAAAGGAGATGGAGAAGAGATCCTAGAAAGTACAAAATAATGCATGCATATCAAAAGATGATAAAGAAAAATCCTATAAAAAATGAAAAAAATATGAGAAGTAACAAAAAAAAAGAAAGAAAATACGAACTAGTTTGGAAAATTTTAAATAAACTCTAAAAATGATATTTAATGCCGGAAACTTTCCTAAGTCAATTTAGTAATGCAATCCTGATGATCTTTAATGTCAAGGATAAATAAGGTAGACACCAAAATTCTAGAAAATATACAAAATTGGTTATGCATACGAAGTTTAAGTTTAACGAAGGATCTGCTCGCTCGGACTTTATCCTTGCTCTATTAAAGGCTGAGTTGACTTGGCATGTCAGTTCACAACTACATTATATACAACCTTCTCGGATCTAGTCTAATCGATTTTTTCATCAAAAGTCCCATACTATTCTAGCTGGGCACTTGATAGAGCAATGCAAGTTTAGCTCATAGGTGGTCTTCAGTCATTCAATTGGCATCAATGGCCACCAATACTAAGAAAAATCCTAATGATAACTGATATCATGGATGATCCAGTGTAATTCTTTTCTACCTCAATTTTTTTGCTATATACTTATCTTTCTTAAAGCATTAGACAAATATGGGCCTCATACTTCTATTCTATATTCTGACTAATAATATTAGCTTTTGAAACAAATCTCCCAATCAACTAAAGTGTAAATCCTGCTCTAACTGTTTTATGTGAATCAAAAGTCAAACGTTTTCCTTATTAACATGTGACGAAATTTGGAAGCAAGGTGGTGACCTAAAATGAATGTGATTTCTATGGACAATTATGAAAATTCGTCAACATATAGCCCATATTAAAAGGACAAATACTCAAACAACTCCATCTATAAGAAGAACGCGTTCAAACTTAAAAATGCTCTATTAGGCTCCCTTTCATTGTTGAAGGTAAGTGATCATTATAGGCTATTACAGGAGGGTATCTACATTCCCAACGTTGAATGAGCTATAACAGGAGGGGTTCTGCATTCCCAACGTTGAGCTCTATATATGCCAAGCCCCCCCTCTCTCTATCTACACATAGAGAGAGAGAGAGAGACCAATTGACACTCAGAGCAACCATCCTTTCGCCCTTTTCCTTAAGATTTGCATGAGTGATAAATTCAAAGTTCAACAAAAGACAGAAGACCCAATGACATGGGTGTGTCCAAGCAATCACATTGAGGAAATTTATATTAGCAAGGACATGACAAGTATTGACGGGCTTAATTATCATGCTTAAAGCATGTCATTGAGCTATGGTAATTGGACGAAGGGCATGTTATTGAATGTCTTGAATCGATGCTTCCCCAATGGTTAAACTTAGGATATGTGACTTGTATGATGCACTTAATAGGGTATAAGGATCTCTTTTAGTTGAGTTTTACCATAAAATTGGTCTCTTAGACTAGTTTTCCACCCTTTGATGAAACAATGCATGGTTATTGACGAAGATCCTCTGATATTGGCTAATCCCAATTGTTTAACTAAATATATTAAGCTCTATGATTTTCTCAATATTATAAACCTATGAGAACTCTTTGAGCCTTACGAGCAAATGTCTATTTCCAGACCATTGCAGTAGCTTGGATCATGCGGAAGTCATGATGGTTAATCTTCACATTGCTTGAAGATACGGGTGTCAATTTCGGGTCACAAGTCGGGTCGGGTCAAATCCGGAATTGACCCGTCACTATTCGGGTCAACCTGAATCTGACCCGGTTTTTGAAACGGGTCAACCTGAATCTGACCCGGTTTTTGAAACGGGTCAATTTGCTAAACCCAAACCCGATCCGTTTCGGGTCCGGGTTGACACTAACCTAGAATTTTCGGGTCGTGTCAAATATTGACACCCCTACTTGAAGATTAGCTTTTATAAAATAATTATGTACCTAGTGAGAGAGATAATTAATCAGGGGAGCTTGGTTCTATGAAATATGTAGTAAGTGCATTATCTCAATTGAATCATCCTCTAAGAAGTATTCCTTTTTCAGGCACCTCCCTCGCTTTTGTGTGTGAACTGTGAAGAAGAGAAGTATCATTAATTTTGGAATGTCTCCTTATTTTACTTGATTTTCCACAGGAAGCCGAGAAGCATCTATCTGAAATGGTGGTAGCAAGCTCGCTTATAGCCAAGATAGACAGGCCAATGGGAATTGTATCTTTTCAGACAGCCAAAGACAGCAATGAAGTTCTAAATTCATGGGCTTTGAACCTGGAGAAATTACTCGACCTTGTGGAGAAGAGCTGCCACCAAATCCATAAAGAAACCATGGTTCACAAAGCTGTTCTCAAGGCTTGACACCCTGAATTTTAATTTCAAGCTTTCCATAACTTAAAAAAGAAATATTCTATATTTTTATAGTTGGCCGTATCCCTCAGATTTTCTTTCTTTTTGGTATTTAAGCACGGCTTGATTTTTGGTGGTTTATTTTTAATTCTGTTCATGCAAATTTACTTCATGCTGTTAAGGATGCCTTTCACTACAAACACCCTTCTTCTAATTATTGTATTTGTTACAATTATTTAAGATAAGGCCTTATGAATTCTAACCTGTAGCATATTATGATGGCTGATGGGCACTGATATTTTGTCTGGTGAAATTTAAGTGAAAATACTTTCATTTGAAAGTGTAAAATGTAAGTGAAAATAACACCAAACAATCATATCAATATTTATTAAATTGACCTTTATCCTACCACTCATATTCCCATGACAGCCATATATAATTGAGGTCCTTTGAAGCATACTAAGAGAAAAGAAGTACTTATAATAAAATGTTGTGTTGAGCATTTTATTAGTGAGGTTCTAATATGTTGGTACATTATATTTTCCAAATATAATGATTTTTTCGTTTCTCATGAATTGTAAAAGAGAGAGAATCATGCCTGCGCAGGTTGATGGCTAGGGGCGTAAGGGAGTCAAGTCGAGTTGGGAGCTGAACTCGATGAGCTAATGAGTCAAATTTTTAGTTAGTCCTAACGTGGCTCTTAAACGTGTGAGTTGGTTCGTTTAAAAAATGTTAATATAAAATTTATTTAAAATATATTAAAATTTAATATTTTAAGTATAAAATTATAAAAGATATTTAAAAATAATATCACAATTTCTTGTATTATGTAATTTCTATATCATCTTTCTTATAATTTCTCACTCTTTTAACTATTTTATTATAATAATTTGTTAAATCATAATCATTCTCTCTCTTTAATATTAAACAAGTCGGTTTGTGAGTCGGCTCGAAGTTATAGAATAAAGCTCGAACTTGAATTCAATTAATTAATAAAAGCTCAAAGCTCAAGCTAGAGGTTACTCGAATCGTTTGTACCAGTAATAATGACACTTAGAGAGAATAGATTTTGACAATAATATAGGCTCAATAGATTTCAACAATAACATAGGGTTGACAACAAAAGTAGCGATCAGTGTGTTAACCATTATATTGAAACACATAAAAAGAGGCAAAATTTTGCAATTTTAGCGATGCGTGCGTTGGCGTGGTGCATCACTTGAAGGATCAAATTATCTTTGATAGTTAAATATATACTGTGTTGTTGCAATCAGAAGATCGAATTCATCTAAATGAGATCTACTCGCAGTCGAACCAGACGAGACCAATCAAAATCCACAACCGCCAGCCCAGCTGATGTCGTGCTTCCCACGATCTGCGCTCTCTGAGTTATGGCCTTGTCGTTAAAGCCAGAACGAAATAAGACGAATTAGTTCTGTTTTCCCGTCAACCTGTATTCGCACAAGAGAGCCCGATCCCATCAGCCGCAAGTGACGACTCTCTTTTCCTCCAGCCGATTGAATCGAACAACCTGCTACCCTGTCTCCCGTCAATTGAAGCCCCGATTTAGCTTTCGACCTTCATAGCCGACCGAAACACCGGCCTCCTTCCTTCATCGTCTGAACCTCATACAGGCGGCTCAGATCTCAGCTTCCTGGCTGAACTTGCTCGATCTCACGACGAGCTGAAGCCGCAGATTCACAGGTATTGTGCAGATCCCGACGCCAAGCTTTGTCCGACCCATCCAGCTGCAAACTCACGGTAGCCTCCGAATCCCTTCCGTCTCATGACATCCAATCTGAAGACCTCCTTTGCTGTGGCTGATATCTTTGCTCGATCCAAATTTTTCCTAAACCCGGGAAGACGCTGAGGTGCTGTTGAAATTCAAAGTAAAGATGCACATATATATTGAATAAATAGCATGGAACCTGATTCACTCTAAGTAACAGGGAACAAAACATGCATATAGAACAACAAGGAACTGGACCTTAAAATTTAAAATGCTCGCGTTAAATGATAATTCAATTCATTTAAACAAATATAAGTGAACGAGCAGGGGACTTGTGTTAAATAGGACTCTAAGCAATGATCAGGAGTATGTGTACTCCGCTGGCAAGAGAATATAACAACCTCCTACAAATGATGCAAAACAAACATATAGACTCTTAGCAAGTAAAAGAGATTTGCAGGTGATGAGTGCAATGACCTGATAAGTAGGATGTGAATACAACACTGCCCTATAGTCAGCATCCATTCAACGTTAAGCAAATGCATTGATCCCTCACAAGCAAGGATTAGATGACTAATATGCGACATTCATATCAGTAGTACCATGCAAGCAGGAGGGACAAGTGTGCACTGAAAAACGACTTGCCAGGCAACATGTACAAATATGATTTAACGATAAATGTAACTCGCCAGTCAACATGCATGGAGAAATCAACGACAAATGCAGCACAATCAGAGTTAATTTTAACATGCAGTCAAATGTATCGATCTCCTATGAACATTGGGAAATTAGTGTGCAGGGTATATATAATAACTCGCTAGCCAATATACATAAAGAGAATGGAGGTGAATGCGTCTTGACCGGCAGTCAATAATAGTGTGTGGTGGTGTGCAAATAAGCTGACTAAATTTTTTTGACAAATGATGATATTTCTTGTAGACGCACACAGGCAACATGCAACAAACACAAAGGTGTGCATATAGTTAGTGACATCAAGCTTCCGGTGAATACATTTGAACCTTGCAAGCAAAGACGGATGATTGGCGACATATACAAATACCTACGATCTACTATAGGAATCTTGCCACACATGCTACGTGTTATTCACGGGCAAATACATACGGATTGTAGTAGATAAAAGCACCAACAAGTAGAGGTGATATATGTGTTGCAAATATGGTAGATCCCTGACAAGCAAAGGTGATCAACATGTAACGAATATAATAATCTCCCTACGACTGATGATAGCTGTCTTGTAGATATATATGGTAGTTCCTATAAACATTGGAAGATATGCAAGCAAATGCAACAAACTTGGCAGACAACATATTGGAAGAAACCAATGATGAATAGAGCTTGGCCGGCATCTCACAATGACATAAAATGAGTGCTACAATACCCCTACAATCAACATCAACTAGCTAGCAAATGAAAGCTGTAGGCCCATACAAACATTCATAAGCATTGATGATAGTAAATATGTTGTAGAGTAAAGAGAAGGTCCGCTGATGTGTTACTGGCAGAAGGCCCTAATTGTGACACTAAGCATGTAAAGTCAAATAATTTTGTAGAGTCAAAGAATGAGCAGTTGAAGAAATGTCTCATTCTATCATCTCTTAAGAAATACTGAGGCTTCTAGAGAAATTATGCATTATTTGAATGATTATATGGAGATCAAGCCTCGCAACCTAATGCCCTACATGTGCATCATAAATGCATGGAACAAGCTCCTCGAGCACATTATCCTGGTGAGAATATCATGAAATTAAAGCCAAACTTTCACGTTCTTCTAAAGTTAAATGTTGCAGTTGTGAACTGCTCCTGGTTGCTATGTCAAAGACTATAGGAGAAGTTTCCTTATTCCATGTACATATCAGATACTATAATTTTGTTGGGATACTTAAAACAATATTAGATACTAGACTACCTTGTGATGTAACGAAGATAAGGAAATCTAATAGCACATTAGTCGAGCCTTGGGTCTCATCAGATTTCAATATCTCATCTATCATAAAATGACCTTATGCAACGTGGATGTTCTCGTATGGTCTAAATAAAGGTTAGATGATTCGTGGATATAATCTCTCGAATAATGAGAGATGGCGCTAGCATCAAAATAATGAAGTATCTCATGACTATTCTAGAAGCAACTATATAATTCATATGTAGATAAAAAGAGAGAATCAGTAGTAAAAAATACATGCCACTAAATTGCAAAGTTGCGCCACTGGATCTGCAATACTCGTACAAGAAGACAAAATATGTATTCATATGCATCCTATAATATACATGCACATATGGCATTCAAAGGATATCATTCTAGTATATTTTAACATTGTAATCACAATTCAAATTGACCTCTTACGTGCATTTATAGGATGCAGAGGTTTTCATTCAAGTATGTCAATTGACATTATAATTATATTTTAAAGTGACCACCTACATACATTTGTAGAATGATGAGGGTTTTATTCAAACATATCATTCAATATTGAATTTACATGCAGATATATTGTACATACATAACAGAGTGTGCTCTTACTTGTATTTGGTAGATGTAGAGGATTTCATTCAAGTAATATCATGCAATATTTTATGTACATGAAATAATGCTACACACTTCTACTATATAGTGTGCAAATGCAAAATGCAAAGTGCATAGGCCAATATATGTGATACATGCATATGTAACACATACACCCATTACATACATATAACAATCATATAATGCAAAATGCATGTAACAACCAATATCTATATGGGCCCTGACGAGCATGTCATAGGTACACACATGATGGCTGAGGATGCTGCATGGGTTTAGAAATAAATTTAGATATAAACCCGATCCTTTGCTAGTAAATTGATAGAGTCAACATGGTTTAATCAACAAAAATGTAACAACCCATAACAACCCGATGAGGATCGTGTTGGCAGAAAATCTCAACCAAAGGAGACCAAAAATATTTATAATGTCTCCTAAATGCCCACAAAAATTCAAAATTTTAAAAGTCACCTAGGACTAAGATATTTAAAATTAAAATTAATCATCAAATGCTTAAAACCAAAATATCCATCCACCTTCCGCAACAATTTGCCGAGGTGAACAAATCTGAAAATGTTTTCAGCTCACAAAAAGCTAATGCTTGGTTGAGAATATCAATAGGATTCCTTCTCAAAACATCTATAATTAGTAAGGACGTGGCACGTGTCCTATAACTGATGGTTTCCCTGCCAAATGGCACCACACCAATGATTTTGCCGTTAAATGACACAACAAATAAACGATTAGTATGCCAGACTCTTTAACTGGGTGATTTTGCTGCAAAATGGCACAATTATATTATGATCATAGTCAGAGCCCGTATGTTCTCTAATGACGTTAAAACATTAAACAATGAATCAATATGATATAATCAATATGACACAAAGCCCTATGTCAGTTAAGGTGGATTCAAATTTGTCCCTTAGATAACTATTCACCCCAAATTAATAAGGTACCATTGGACGAAACAACCCGTGGCTGTCGATAAGGATCCTTCTGTCAGGTTGGGTCAACTACCACGATGGCCCGGGACTACGGAACAATGGGAACTTGATCGGGCTTATCACTACCCCCCACCATCTGCTTTAAGTATGATGTGGTGAAATTTCTAATTATAAATATTAAATTGTCAAATACCTAAACCATGCTGCTACTATACGTCAAATACTTTGTATCTATTTGACAACTACCCTTAATCGAAAGTTCTTTCTCGTTATCGAGAGGGGTAATTAACTGTAGGGGCTTGCGCATATAAGAAACAAAAAATTCAGGTCATAAAGTCATCGCAAAATGACAGCAAAATCTCTGGGTAGTTTCTTATTTCAAACGCAATCTGGCTTCTGAAAATTTGCCCTGGAACTTAAGCATTAAAACTCTCCTCGACTACCCGAACAAAAAAGAAAAAAAAAGGGGAGATTTGCGGAGAGGCCAAGGTGCAAATTTTCAGAGCCCACACAATGTTGCAAGAGTTAAGACATAATAATAAGTTCGATAAGAAATACATATATAGATTGTGTAGAGTAACTAACCTATAAGAAAATGTAGATGGAAAGAGATTCAAAATACACTCTGCAAAGTCGTAGCATCAATAGGAAAACAAAACTACATAACAACAAGAAAAGAAGTGAAGTATGTGATTTTAAAATGGATTTGCTGATGCTGAGTTTAATCCGAGCCCTTTATGTTTGATCAGATGGTTAATAGCTAAAAATAAAACTTTTAAGGGGTTGAGGTTTTAAAACTAGCATGGCAAGTCACAAAAGCCATCAAAACAATTGGCAAAATAGAAGTTAATGTGAAAATTTAGCCATACTAAGTTAGATATAAATTTCTAATTAAATTTTTATAAAAATATTTGATATTGATCCAATTTCGACTCTTATCGAGTCGATCCACTTACAACTCAAAATTGGATTGAATTTGTATTCGATCCAACTATTTGGTTCATGGCTCATGTCACTTGCTTCTAGCTAAGCCCGATTCGAGCCAAAATTCGTACATATTTTCGAGTGATTTATAATCTTCGAGCCAAACTCTCAACCTTATTTAAACCAAATACCTTACAAAATTAGAACGTAATTGGTATAATATGAAACTTCCCTAGGAAATTATATGTATTTTCTCATTGAGATTTGAGGAATTTTAGAAATATTTTTATAATAGCTATGTTTCTATGTGTAAATTTTATTATTGTTGTATTTTTAATGCAGAAAAAGAAACAAATCATCTGCCATTTGAGACAGATTCTCCTAAAAAAAAATCATATAAGATTTTATATGAAAGATGCCACACTTCCCCAAATGTATTTGCATTTGAATTGATATTATGTAAATTGTTTATGCAGAATTTGTTAAATTTTTTTTTTAATCCAGAAATTTAAGAACCACCTATTTGTACTTTAAGAAGAAGAAAATAATTAAAATAATATTTATTTTTAAAATATTCCAACATACTATATTTAGAAGGAAATGTCTATTAAGTAGACATGCTATGTTCATAATTTAATGAATATAACATCATTTTGTTAATAAAAAATTCTGTTCGTTTACAAGCTAAATAAAAAATTAACACTATAATAAAGAAATTAGGCCAATATTATTTTTAAATGCATATTTCAATTATTTCTTTCCAGAATAAAAATTACTTATTAATCTTTCAACTCTTTGAAATATCGCCTTTCCCATCATTGTGGTTTCACTTGACTCATGATTCTCGTATCTTTCATCTGTCAATTATTTATTCGTCGAAGAAGAAGTCTTCGACGTGTTTTCGATGAATGTCGTGTTCTAAATGTATCGAATATTACAAATTTTGATATTATAAAATGTCAGTATAAAGAACACAAAGTATGTGTATCAATCCCCCTTTGTATTCCTGCATTCTGCCTTCCTCATTCAAAACTGCATGAAAAACTCACAATAACCCAAAAAGCAAATTTTATGCACACTCATCTCTTCACTATACCTTACTCCAAATATACATAAAATAAATCTTCAAAATTTTTGCTCAAGAATTCTAGCACTTAATCAAATCCAAATCAACTAAAAGAAGAAAAAAAAAACTAAGTAAAATAAAATTACTACTCTTCATGGACATCTCATGTTTCTTCCAGGTCCGCCATAGTAAAAATAATTTCCCCACACACTACTGAATCCTCCTTGTATATCATAGCAGCTTGGGTGGTCGGCGAGCAGCCGGAGTCCGGCGACCGGAATAAGACTATTATCCCAATCAACAATCTGTAGATTTCTGAAGTAAGAAGCTCTTCCAAAGCCTTGTTGAGCAAAATGGCCACTGCCCATTTCAGTTGAAGTGTGGAAACCAGAGGGCTGAGTGTTCACTATCTCACCACCAAATTGAACCATGCTTGCATGATCTGCAAGGTGGCTGAATAGAACTGATGGCCAGTAGCCAACAAGCTGGCCTGAGCCAAATTCCAGCCACCAGTTGCCCTGATTTGGGTCCTGTAGAGTTATAGAGCTGTTTAAAATAAATCAAAATTTGATATTTTTGGGCTGCAGCCTTGGCTTGTAATCAAATTTTAGTATGAGCTAATTTGATTTACTTAACTTAATTCAAGCCATTTACCTACATAGCACTGAAAATTTAACATTTAATTACATATTTAATATATAAACTTCACTATTTATAATCTTCCCTTTAACGGGAAGGGTTCGTGGTGGTTCCCATTGCCGCCGGTGAACTCGGGTGTGATGCCCTTAGGTTTTTCCTAGTCCTCCATTTTATCATCTCTTCCTTTCATCCTCCCTCACCCCTTTCTCTCTGGCAATGGAGGGCCACCACCGTCCACTGGTTTCCGATGATGGGATTAACGACGTGTAAAAGAAAGGAGAAGGGCAACGAGATTGTAACATAGATGGTGCGAATGTGGGCCGTTATGTGAGTAAATAGTGAAGTTTAGGTTTTGAATATATAAATAGATGAATTTTGAGTGCTATGTATGCATATATATAGCTCAATTGATAAAACTTTTGAAATTATTGCAAGATTTTATAAAAAAAAACAATGTAATGAAGGTTAATTACCTTCCAAACAAGAATGCTTATGTCAAATTGGCCCCCATCAAAACTTGATGTAGGTTGAATTGCTGCTCCAATTGCTATCCTGTTATTAGTCTGGATGAAGCCTGAGCACAAGAGATTGTAGCATCCTGTAGCTTGGTATGCATCCGTCTAAACATCAGAGAAACATTTATCAAAAACCATATAAATATTTCATATTTACATCCATATTCATTATTTAAAAATTTTCACTGTATACTTACTGTCCAGTAAGTAAAGAACCTAGGATAATCATCTCCATATAATTCTGGACTAACCTGAAATGAATTTTCAGCATCATTTGTATGCTGCAATGAAAATTTTTCTAACAAAAATGGCATAATTTGATTGTTTTGAACCTGCCATCCTGCTTCTATAGTATTGAGATCTTCTCCGAATGATCCGGAGATCACCCAGATTTGAGATAAGCTGAATTCTGAAGAGCTTTTAACCTTTGGAGTCCATACATTTAAGCTGGCTTTTGCTCCATAGTACTGATCTCCAGAAACATATCCAACTGCATGCTGTACAGTTTTGGAAAAATAATTTGTTGGAATCTTATAGTAAAGAAGATATATTGATTCACAGATAGTGCTGCAACTTAGGTTTCGTTTGGGACAGCTTTCTTACTATTTTCTAAAGCAGTATTCTAAAACAAAAATTGGTTGAAAGCAGGAAAAAAGCAATGATCAAAAGCTGTCCCAAACGAAACCTTACTCGTTACAGAAATTTATAAAAAATAACAAAAAAGTTGTAGCTAAACAGTTATATTTAATATAAAACATTGAAAAAGCAGCTGTAAGTGGATTCTAAGAGTTTGTTTGGGACGACTGTCGTTTTTTATAAAGTTGATTATGAAGTTGCTGTGTGGAAAGTAACTTGGCTACTTTGGTTGCAAAAAATAACTTTTCACTTCAATTTTTTTGCAAAATAGTAGCTAAACAAAATTGTAGCCTAAGTCTTATGAACTGTTGTGACAAAAGAAAATCCTTATTTTATGTCTCCTATGGAATAGCTTATATCCAAGAATTTTTATTTCAGTATTATATGTCATGCATGATAGAGAGGATTTCCTGTATAAGCTTTCATGGGATTCTATAAATTTTTTTTTTTAAAAAATTTATATTAACTAATTTCCTTGAAGTTTGATGTGAAGTTCAACCATATTTGATTTTGTCTGATTGAATGATACTCTTAGTAGTTCTACCAAACAAGCAAAAGAGTGTGATGGAATTTTGTCATGAATTGCAGGTCCCATAATTTCAGATAAGTTCAGAAAGAATTATTATGGAACCAAACTTTAAGAACTTGATTGCTTCTATTATAAATTGAATTTTCTTAGTATTTAACATAACTAAAAATATCAAATAAAAATAAAAACTTTTAGTTGAAACAGAGCATGACTCTTCAAAGATTTGATCAAAGTTTATGTCTTTCATTCCAACAGCAAATCTTAAAACCATCAAAAAATAAATTTTTTTTTTTTGCAAAATTTGATGAATTAATGAAAAATGAAGTTCTCAATTGAAAAAATCGAATCAAAGAATAAATCTTTTTATATTATAGTGTAAAAACCTCATGTCCACTGCTCTCTGAATTTCTCCTGAATCTGGAAACTGTCTTCCTCCCAAACTTCAGAACAGAACTTGCCCTCAATAAATCTTCTTCTGTAGTTCTTCGAATTGGAATTGTTTCTTCTGGGCAGAGCTCCCCTGTATTCCTCCATAACTGGAAGCTCTCTTCCATCAAATTTGTATTCCTGTGATGATCCCTTGGCCTTTCGGGTGGATCCTACAAACAAAACACTCTCAATTCCTCACCTTTATGTATAAAAATTCAATCTTTCTAGAAGAAAAACAAACTTACCAATGGCTTCTGGCCTTGCAGAAGAGGGTGATCAAATGCTGGCTGTAAATGAGATGGCACGCAGTCTATAATATCACCATCAGGACTCTGCAAATTAAACAGTAAAGCTCGGTCTATTGAGAAAAAAGAAGAAGAAAAAGAAGAAGAAGAAGAATTAGGCTTACCTGAATTGTTTTCACTGAAGGCTTATTAAGCCTTCTTAGACGAGCTTTTATCTTCCTATACTTTCTAAGCTGAAGTGTCGTTGTATTCACCTCAAGAGAAGAGAAAGCACTAGTCATAGAACAGAGGAGGAGGAGACTAAGATAGATAGCAATTACAGAAGAAGGATTCCAGCGACAAGAAGCCATTTTTTCTGGAATTTTGAGCTGCTCATTTCTTTGCTTGTCTTCTTCTTCTTCTTCTTGACTGTATCATAGGATCTCACTTGTGCTACACTGAACTCAAAGTCACATTTCAGAAGTTCAGAAACCAAAGAATGGCCAAAACTCCATCTCTCGCTCTCTATTTATTTTGCGTTCTCCTGTCTCCTGGTCAGCTCAAAATAACATTTTCATTGACTCTGACAAGAATTGATATCAAGAAGTGAATTTTAGAAAATTATATAGGGAATGTCTATTATTATTATTTTTAATTTGGATTAAAGTTTTTCCTTTTGTAATGAAATCATGGGTTTTATTGGTAGAAGAGGAAAGGAAGGATTGCAGGCCATAGAATGCAGGTTAGTATGACTACATCTTTATCTTTTTCTTCTCGTTTTTTTCATTTTTTGTGTAGGGCATGATGTGAGCATGCCCTTGTGTTCTACTATTATTCCTTTCTTTGGCCTTTAGATCAAGTATTTTATTTGATTCTGTCTCTCATACTCACTCTCTCTCTCTCTCTCTCCCTCTCTCACAAGTAGCTTCTTTTTTTCTGCTTACTTTCACAATCCCCAATAAATTCTAATTATCAAACTGTTTAATGGTGTGTTTTTAGTTTTTTTTTTTTTGGGACATTTAGGCCATTTAAGGCAAACTCTCACACACAACGCATACAGATAGACTCGAACCTTGGACCTCTTAGTTGGAAGCCTAAGCTCTCAACCTATAGGCCAAGGAGAGTTGTGTTGTGTTTTTAGTTTGGTTAATGAGATATTCAAAAATATAATTTTTATATTTTTCAAAAGTAGAAAAAGAATTCTTTTTTAAATTGCAAAATTAAATATATTAGTAGCGGACCCGGACCCGGACCTGTCCCAATTTTTAAAATGGGTCACATTTTTGAACCAAAACCTGACCCGTCTCACAAACGGGTTGACCCAAACCTGAAATTTTCCAAGTCAGATCCTATATATCTGAATGATTTATCATCAGACTTACATTGCTATATGGGAGGGATAGAGAGGATCAGTTGTATTGGGTCTGCGAGGACAAGATGGGAGAGAGTGTGCATTGTGCATTGGATGACATGACGCATCCGGATTGACCTCCATATGCATCCGGACGCTGCACGTAATAATTTTTCAATGAGGGGATAAATTGGTCTAATTTTAAAAATAATTTTGAAATATCAATTTTATTTTCCTTTTTCTTTTTAAATCAACAATGTACTTGTAAGTAAGATTCTCTAGCTAAAGGAGTGTAATAATTATTTTTATTTAAATATAAATAATAGCACTTAATCAACCTTATTTGCATACCACGAGGAAAAAAAGGTAACTAATTTATGCACTCCCACATATTCTCTCACTAGAAACTGTCTTAGGGTTGTAAGTGATGAATGTTTGAGTTTATAGTGAAAATTAGGGATGTCAATTTTTGACACGACCCGAACCCGACCCGGAAAAATCCGAGTTCGGGTCAACCCGAACCCGAAACGGGTCGGGTTCAAGTTGAACAAATCAACCCGTTTTAAAAATCGGGTCGGGTTCGGGTTGACACAGTAACCCAAAATTGACCCGAAAGTGACACGAAAACTCATATTTGACCCGAAAATCCGAGATTGACCCGTTTGACCCGATTTTGACCTGATTTTAACCTGATTTTGACTCGAAAATTAGCAATTTTAGGTCAACTTCTGGTCATTCGTGTCGGGTCGGGTTGACCCGGACCCGAATCGGGTCGGGTTCGGGTCCGGAAACCTGACCCGTTTTTAAAAACGGGTCGGGTTCGTGTTGACCAGAACAGTGCAGGGTCAGTTTCGGGTTCGACCCGAACCCGACCCGCCGACCCGAATTGACACCCCTAGTGAAAATTCTTTCTCCATATATTTAGGGTTTACTTTTGGCTTTTATATTAAGTTCATGGCTTAAACAAACCCCAATTATATTTGCAAAAAGCTCAATATGATTCATATTAGTCTTTTCTCAAATTAAGCAACTTAATTTATTTGAAATAAAGAAATTGATTGTAAATCATGATGCAAATCATACAATGCAATTAGTTCAAAATTTAAATTAATATGATTAAGAAAAAGATGTTCTATCATTATGATTAGATAATCATATTGATCATACAGTGTGATTAATTTATATTTTAAATATGTTAATTACTAAAATTTGGTCATGTTGTAACTATAACCAAACAAAATAGATGGTAGAGTATGATATTAAAATCAATTGCTACTAATTACTGTTATTATAAAACTTTGCAAAATTTCTAATACATAAATCGAAATCAAGCATGATCATCAAAATAATTTAAGCTATAGCTCACGGGGTTAACAATTTTAGAATCTAAAAGATGTAGTTAATTCAATCTTAGTTTTTCTTAAAATAAGCTTCGTGCTTTGTTTTATCTTATAAGCACTGTATTTATGTGAATCAAACTATTCAATATTCTTATTTAGTTTGTTATAGTTTAACAAAAAAAGGGGTTTGGTTCTTCTATTATTGGCTTGTAACTATACTTAGGGACTTATTAAATTTCAATGATTAAATTTACTTTGAATGTTTGGAATTAAATCTATTATTTCTGTCAAATATCGTCCCAGCCATCCTAATCGTCTCTTGGCTCTTGATCATATGGCCATAATGGGGATCTGTGGGAGGCTCACCCGGATTATGTTGATCTCCTTTCATATTCGGGTGGTTGATTTAGGAAGGATTATATTAGGATAATTATATATTATTCTGTAATTTTTTGTTTCTTTTTTAAAATCTCCTGCATAGATCTATAAATAGGGATAGTTTTGTATAACTCAAATTCTCTAAATTTAATATGGTATCAAAGCCTTCATTGCTTAGGCTAGAATTTTGAGTTTTTTTTTATTTTTTTTTTATTTTTTACTGCAGGACAAAGGGATCGGGTTCCCATCTTGTTCGTTCCTACATACGTCCAACCGAGAGGAGGTACACTGCTTCATCCTGAGGTCTCGACATTCGATCAAGAGAGATGAATGTCTCATGCTTCTTGTTCAGAGTAGTCGAGCGAGAACCCCACGATCTCTATGTTTGATCGAGAGAGATGAACATATCATGAACCCATCTCGAGTGCATACAATCGAACGAGATGAGAGAGGCATGTGGCCAAAAGATTATATGCTTGTGTCTAGGGCAGAACAAAGCTAGATCATGCGTCCCTAAAGCTTGCCAAACGTGGTAGCCTCCTCTCACATGCGTATGGGGCAGAACCGAGAGGAACTAAGCAAGAGGTTGTGTCTTAACGAGAGTGTGTGTTTGGGCTGAGTGGGTGCATTCATCTGGAAAACTTTCGCATAGTTCCTATGGCCCCTAGAATTTCTCTCATCCTCCGCATATGTTCCTCTAGGCATGCACACCTCCACAAGTTCCCACCACCAACCTTCATTGCTTGAATTATGAGGAATATAGGTTTCCACCACTAGCCTTCATTACTAAAATTCTAAGGAATACTGGTCATTCCATCGTCCTTTATTGCCAAAATTTTGAAGAATATGGGTCCTTCTGCTTCCTTCGTTCATACAAGATAATGGAGAGATCGAGCGGGAGGGCTCCTCATGTGTGTAGGTGGGGTAGAACCATGAGAGCCAAGCAAAAACCTCCTCTAATGTGTGTGCGACTACACGGGGAGAAATCTTGAGTCTGATAGTGGACAAAGCCTCATGGGAAAGGTGACATCGGGCTCAAAATCGTTCTTCCTTGAGACATCCAGGGCTGATATAGCAGAAGCGAGAGAAGTCGAGCGCAAGATCTCCTACAATTAATCAAGAAGCATTAGAGGCCTTGCATGCGCCTATATGGGACTAATCGAACATGAATCTATTTAGGTGGATTTGGATGGGTGATTTTCATTGGTACGAAGGCTAGCTTGATCAAACATCTTGGGAAGGAGGAGACTTGTGTGCCTAGTGCTGAGCTGCTTGAGACATTTTTTTCCTGATATTGTACCTAAAGCTTGTCCTAAACCCAAAAAATATTTTTTTTTCTTTCTACTGTCATGCCTTTATTGATAGCCTTCCGTAGAGACCTGACGGATAATTAATCCACTTTCCCATTTGTCCCACCACCGGCCTTTATTGCCATTTATGCTATCTTGAGGGCTACTGTTCAACGCAGCCTTCATTGTTCTCCTGCACCTTACAGGCTTGAATGATATAGACTTCATCTCTATAATTACGACCACAATATCTGAAGTTAATTCCTCCCAAGGTTTTGATCAAATGGAGGACTATGGTACACCAAGGGACTTGATAACTCTATCTTTTTGAAACTGATTACGAAGCCGGGAATGTATTCTTCAGCTTTAGAGAGAGTGTCTCATATCGTCCCAGCCATCTTAGTCATCCCTTGTCTCTTGATCATATGGCCAGGATGGTGATCCGTGGCAGGCACACCTGGATCATGCTGATCTCCTTCCATCTTTGAGCTGCTGATTTAGAAAGGATTATATTAGGATAATTATGCATTATTATATAATTATTTGTTTTTTTTATTAAGATATCTTCTATAGATCTATAAATAAAGATAATTTTGTATACTAAAATTATGCTTTTTTTCCTCTCCAAATCTCTAAATTTAACAATTTCTATTCTAAGTCGCTATTTGGTATTCAATATATAGCACCCAACCAACACAAATTGAATAGTTGATATTTGACATTTATATATGTGAACGTCATAATATGCCACGTGTCATCCATTTAACGACCTTTAACCATCTTTTTGATGATGAGTTGATGGCAAAAATGCTCAATGTTTGCAAATAACTCATATTCAGCCAAATATAATTCAAAAGATATGGAGGAGAAAGATGACCATTTAGGTTAGAGAGGAAAATGAAGTCACTTACAATTCAACATGTTAAGAGATTAATTGTGATTAATGTGTGTGCCAATATGGGAGAGAAGATAATAGTATGATACTATGTACATGCAAATTTTTACTTGTTCAAAAATCAATGCCTAAATCCTTAGGAGAAATTTTACATTATGTAATTAATAGTTACATTCATAGTGTATGAGATTCAAAAGATAAAAGAAAAAGAGCAACCACTCTTGAGCATATTTTCAAAGGAGATTTATGCTTCGTTTGAGATAAGCTTCTTCTAAAATATTTTTTTTTAGCACACATCTTTTTTTTGTTGAAAAGCTACTTCAAAAAGCAATAAAAAGCTGTCCCAAATAAAGTCTTACGGTACGAGAAATTATCCATCCGGAGGCGAATCAGTACGCGCCATATCTCTTTTTTGTTGTGTACTTATACTGTTTACCGTTATGTACTGGATGACATGACGCATCCTAAT